ACGAAGCTCATAACAGCTGTTATATATTTAGCGCTTCTTTGTCGTCACCTCTTCAGTAGGCGAAAGACCTGGAGAAAAAGTCTGTTGCCTCATTGGAAAAACCAGCTTCATCTTTGTGTGAGGAAAAAAGAGTTATTGCCCTGAATGCACCTATGGCTCGAGTAACAGAAGTTAGTAGAATGTGAACATTTTGTCTGAATTTCACTTGCATCAGTTATGAACGAGGAACAACATCTTCTAGTACCTGCTATCTTCCCGTTCTTAACCTGTGAATTACACCCCCATACGTCCCATTCCCATGAGACTGTAGGATGTTTTAAACGCGGAAAAAAATTGTATCTCATTAAATCGCTGCAAGAGAATATCTTGATTGCTGGCAGTGCCCGCGGGCAGGCAAGACGGGCCCATCTTGCCCATACGGGATTGTTCGCTTTGGTTCCGCGAAAGAAATAAAATTCCTGAGTGAACTTACAAAAGAGTCTATAATTTGTGGGCAGTGTCAGCGATGGAGTCACAAAACACGGTAGAAGACAGTAAAAATAGAGAAGACGTAAGCGATTCTCGAGGGTTTACCGTGCTACTAAAGGATGCAGTGGACTTTCTTTCCCATCTCTCGAAATAATCAAGTCATTCTTGATTTCTTATTGAAGCGAAATATTTTCCTTATACGAAAAATCCTTTATTGATCAAGCTTGTTCTGTCAAGATGGCTGGATTTCAGCTTCGTTACTAAGAACTCGGCCAATATCCAGCCGTCTTGACCTCACTCGTGGTCGGTAACGCAAATTCATCGACCCGGAACACAAAGCTTACGCACTCATTTTGCCGCTGTGTTATGGTTTATTAAAAAAACGAACAGTATACGTGCAGAAGTTAGGGCATGACATTTGCAGATTTTACCCGTAAGGCAACCCTTAAACATTGATTAAGAGTTGCTTCCAAAGTGCCTTTCAGTGGCGGTTCTGTTAGATTGAGGTAAAAGATTTTCACTTGCATCACTTGTGAAATATTTTTTACTTATCTGTTGTGAATAGAATCATTCGTGTTACCGTGGTTTTTCCCATTATCTGAAATGATAATTTAAGATTACCTTATTAAAAGTTCGGTTTGTCTTTTAAGACATTAAAATGTGGAATGATAATAATCATTTCCAGAAAGAAAGTGAAATCAGGTTTGGTTCAAAAGGGTACATGAACGAATAACATTTGGGGGTCTGTCTTATTAGGTAACTTATCGTGCCACAATAAAAAAAAAATTGGTTTGCAGATAAAGGGAACGGTGACCTATTAGACTTTCTACTAATTTCACTTTGCGCTTGGATCGAATTTTTTAAAAATATTTTGCCTTCGGAACAGCGATAACATAAATATTGCATTCACATACTGTCTTCAGAAAAACTGACAGAAAAAATTAAAAAAGAAATGAGTTTCTTAATGACACGGTTCGTTTGAAAGTTCACGTAAAATGATGCCTTTTAAAAGCATATTACATTCGCATACTGTCATAAGAAAACTGACAGAAACAAAAAATGAAATATGACAGAGTTTCGTATTGACACAGTTCGTTTGAAATTACACGACACATGATGCCTTTAGAATGGTAAAAAAATAACACTTACATACTGTTATTAGAAGACTGACTGAAACAATAAAACAAAATGAAACAGAGTTTCGTAGTGATACTTTTTTGTGCTTAATTTCACGAAATATGCCTCTAAAATGGTGAAAAAAATAAATATTGCATTCAGATACTGTCAATAGTAACTCACAGAAAAAAAAGAGACATTTGCATTAAACAGAGAAATCAATACTCAACGATTCATAAGGGATGTGTAAATATATTTCTTTATTTTAGATAGATCCTCCAGGATTACATTGAAATACGAGCCTTGATTCAGAGCATATTAAAACATCAAACCGTAACAATATGAGCATATTTGTAACTCAAGAGAAGAAGCTGGTACATCTCTGTTTTAAAAGAATTTAGCACTAGTTGCGCGTCAACGGGAAAAGCATAAAAATATACTGGTGAATATTGAAGAAAACAGGAAAAGATTTCAAGGGCTCGTCTATGTTTCGAGACAGTTAAAGAAAAATGGCAACGAGAAGAGAAGGTTTCTTGCACGCGCCTGATAAACCTCTGCACATTTCTACGCGGCTTTTCCTAAGGTCTGCTTTTTTCGTGCAGTTAAACACGTCGAGCCACTCGCAAAATTGCTGTTTGGAATATATATTTTTTTCTCGACTCAGAAAATTGCTTTTAAGTAAGGTAGCAGCCTCCCACTTTCCAAGAAACAACCTCCAACATGGCCAGAGTAGGATTCTGACGAAAACAGATCGAAGATTGTATTGATTAAAATCTTGATATCGATTTGATTAAATGCTTTTTAGAAATCTTTTAATGCCGGCTCGAAATTGTCTGTTGATATCACTGTAAATAAGAGGGTTAAAGAGCGAATTACAGTATCGAAGAAAGAAAATAACATGATCAATAGCTGTAAATGTCTTTGTTACCTGTAAAGACATGTAGGTGTACACAAGATAGAAAACAAACAGCGGGCACTAGCAGAGAGAGTGGGCGCCCATTATGATGGTAGAAGTCTTTGCTCCTTTAAGTTCCCGCTTCAACCTTCGTTTGGAGTGTCCCGATCCTACGGGATCACATTGCGTCGATTGAGAGTTAATTCTTCGCGCGTGCGAACGAGCAACGATGAATATGTTCCAGTAAACAATCGTCATCACACAAACTGGGTTGACGAAACTCGCTATCGTGATAAAGGTTACACCCATTTAATAAAAAATACTGTGACAGATTTTTATTGCTATTGGAATTTTTGACCAAAAATAGTAAGGCAGTGCATGAGACAATCGCTGTTGGCGATGGCAACCATTTTGGGGACAGGATTAAATTTTGAGATTAAACTTCGACCAGCATGATTTCTATCTTAGAAGTTGCTTGTGTAAGCCTTCAGCAAACTACCAGTGATAATATTAACGAAAATATAGAGTAATAATAACAATAATAATAATATTAACAATTCATAATGATATCAAGATGTTCGACTGCAAACAAATAGAAGGATTTAAAATTAAAAAAATATGAGAAATCAAAGACTTCATAATGATGACTAAATTATACTTAAAATTGAATTTATTAAAACAGCTTTAGTCTTAAACAGGATCTGCTTGGAAGGTGGACATATCTTTTTTAGTGTCTTTTTTATTGTTATTATTATTACTGCTTTTTAAATAAAACGCACATATCAGTGATTCTTCAGAACTAGGATGAAAATTATAAAGTAAGAAATCCTCGTGTTTTAATTCATTAAAAAAACAGTGATCTCTCTTTCCTGAAAGTTCGTGAATAACATAATCAACTGGTATGTAGCTTCTATTGCAAAATATTCTTTACAAACTTTGCAAAGTTTGGTAAGGTCACAAATACTAGCGGCATAAATAGAAAGGCTAAGAAACATTTTTGAAAGGACGATCGCATCAAAAGATTGACTATTTACTTTTAGGAGAATCCTATTTGCGCAGGCTTTTGCCTATGATGAAAATATTTTGGCTTCATAGAACTTCACCTAGATATATAAAATAAACTTGCAATTAATTTCTTCTGTAACTCCTTACAAATGGAGGCTGCCAGACTGTTTGATGTTACATCATAGGAAGGAAAGGTGCTAGAAATTAATTAACCTCAATTTCTTATATAGGAGCGATCAATTCCCTTATAAGTTAATATAAATTCAGTGATACTTTTCCCATCAAACTCTTGCCTTTATTTGGTAGAATTATGTTAATCCAGCTAGATTTGTTGCCAATTTCTTGCAGCTGAGTTGTCTCTGATATCTGAAAAATCGTTGGATTGGACACGGACTAAGTTTTAGAGGCCTGCTGTGATATCTGGACTAAATCGTTGGATTGGACGTGTCTACGGACAGTTTTATCATAGTTTTGATATTTTGAAGAACGGTCGTATGATAATTCAACGGCGTCTGTTTTCATTCTTGTATGTATCTGTTCCCATGCATGTATCCCATGTATCTGTTAGTCTAGGTAGGCAAAATATATTAAACATTCAATCACTTTTCCCCATCGTAAACTTTCTGACGGTGATGACAAAACATGCATCTTTGTATAATATTTCTCTTTTGTGATGTTCAGTCCTTCCATAAATCTTCCAAGAGGCGAAGATATGTTATTTAGAGGGAAGACAAGATTGAAATATATTGAAAAGTGCGTTCCGGAGCATTTGCATTTATTTCGCCGAGGGCCGGATGTGTTTGAACTATTTTGAAGCACTGGCTTTTGTGCCTTTTCTGTGTGCGCTCCAGTTGACCTTTTGCCTTGAAATGTTCATAAAAATGCAAAACCGGCTGAAGGCATAATTGCAGACGTTATGGGACGGATGTTTGAGGACGTTCCATAATGACTTGAGGTTAATAGAAAACTCTTTCACAATAATTTTCATTTTAAGGTAATGATCTGAAAAAGCTGTATGCAGCCGGCTTTCTTTATATGACTTCATCGCTGTTTTAGGGCATTCGATCTGAATCGAAGTGAGGGAGCAGCGGAAATATATTTCAGGTATTTACTTCTTTTTGATACTTAAAAGGTCGATACACGGAAAGATACGATCAGACGTCAGTGAAATTTGACAGCAAAAGAACCCAGTTAAGGGTTAAAAAAAAACTTGTATTTTGCAACCTCAATATGTAAACATTGCAATTATAAATTACTACATAAGTGTTCTTCAAGAGCCGAGGAAAAATTCATAGTTACTCAGGTCTGACATCAAATACTGCGCAACCTTAAAAAGGGAAAAATAGAAATTTTTCCATTGATTCCTGATATTTTCCATACTACTTGTTAATATTTATTTAGACATTCTCCGCCGCGATTATAACAATAACAACATTTTCGCGTTTTTATATCCGGTGAACTGTTTACCGCGACACGTTCTTTCTGGCTCATACAGAGAAGCGGAAATAAAAGAAAGAAAAACTGAAGAAAAAAACCTCCTTAAGAATTACGTCATTGGGGAAAATGTAATTGCAAAGGTAGGGGAGAAGTAAACATAAAAATAATTTATTTACAACCCTTCTTTTCTGGCAAAAGGATAATTTCATAATATTATAATCATTCAAATTGTTCTTATTGTCAAATGTGTAGTATGTGGCTCAGAGAAGTTCCAGTGAGATTCTAAGAACATACAAGGGGATTTTACCAGATAAATTAAATACATTCCCGATCATTTTACTTTATTTGATTATATTATTTAAACTCAACTCAATCTTCAAACTTCTCCTCAGCCAATTGCTGAAAACAAGAAGATGGTGTCCAGAAGGACTTTCTGGGGTTTCATTATTGCTTTCTGTAAGCACTGTTGTCTTTATTTCATAGAGTGTCAATTAAAGCGACTGAAATGTTTTATTTAAACCTATTTCAAAGGATTGGAAATTGCTACGTTTAGACTTAAAGTATGCGTTCTTATGAGAATACCTCACGTTTTCCTCAAATATTCTGGCCCGAAAAAGGTCAACTCGGGAGAAAGCAAGCGACACGCGCACGGGAGAGACATGTTGTGGAGAAATCTTACTAAGGGACATTACGAAAATAGAGTTACTGCTCCCTGAGAAATTATGAGACAACACAGCGCCGAAGTTGATTTTCGCCTCTCATTCGAGTCTGATCGCTGGTTTACGTGCGCTGCAGACCATGTTCGTGACGTAATTTATCCAGTGCATATGGTCGACAAAACAAAATACGTTATTGCTTTTCTTCGTTCAATTTCCAAATACCATGTACTACGTCACAATCATCTCTAAAATTATATATATATTAAAAAAAAAGAAAACAGAAAAAACCAACCTCATCAACGGTGTTCAGAATCTTTTCACTTTTCGTCGTTCGGCACCGAATGCACGCTCGCGTAATTATGTCATTTACATTTCCTATGGCAAAAACCTGTCCAAAAGACGCTTAATTGGAAAATTTCAGCCAACAAATTTTGATAGCAAACCGGACACCGAAAAGAAAGATGAAATATGTATTTAAGGGAAAGAAATTTCTTAATAGCGATGAGAATTTATTGTGGTTTATTTCAATCGACCTGCGATATCTTCTTCCTACCAATTTTTGTTTTCGTTAGTTGCGCGATGCACGATGCTGAAATCGGCATATTTAATTTGAGTGCTTAAAATTCAAAACAAGGAAGTTAATGACGTCAATGCCGTCTAGATATCTCTGAATATCTACAGATCATGTTAGGTTTCAAAGCATCGGCGAGTAATCCGCTTAAGTTACGAACACTATTCACCCTTGGCCAATTTCAAAATCGCTATAAGATGTAATAATCTCGGAATGTTGACCGTAAACTTGGTCAAAGCCATTTGAAATTCTTTTTCAACCACAGAAAATTCGGAAATTTCGAAACTTGCAAATATTGATTTGTTATTTGAGCATGCACTGGCTTCTGATAAGTGGAGAACAAAGAGAGGCAATGTTTACATGGTCAGCGGTCTATTTGAGAGAGGAGCTTTGCCTCCTTTCTCGAAGAGCGGTTGGTTATCGACCTAAGCAGAGCCGTCTGTCAAAGAGACCACAAATCATATCAGCTATTGGCAATTCCAAAAGTAAAGGAGGCGTATTTCATCACTCAAAAATTGGAGAGAAATTAAAAAAATGCAGGCTCTCTGTTGTTGAATTCTCACCGGTCTAAATCACACACGTCCAGTGAAATGAGGTGAACGCTAAGCAGTCGAAAGAGTTTCAGTTGAGAAAGACTTCATGCCGAATGAGGTCTATATTAGATTAATATTTATGTATACTCGGGAAGGGTTAAGTCTAAAGCTTCCTTTATCCTTTTGAATGTGTGATACTGTTGATACAGTTTCATCTGTTGTTCCCCTTTTGCTCAGCACTATGTGATGTCTCTTCCATATAGTTTTCATATAACAAGTCTCCGTGGTGTCTAACGTATATAGCTTTTAATAGAAACGTCATTTCAAGTTTAGCGTTTCCATAAACGTCTTTGAAAACAAGCTTTCACTCGAGATGCTCTGTTTCAATTGAATTGGTGAGGTGTACTCCCATTTTCTCTTGATTTTACAAGCAGTTGCATTAATAGTTGAAGTACGCCCTCAGGGAGTTGTCCCATCGTTTCACGCAACTCAACTCTTGCAAGCTCCAAAAGGACATTATGTGGAACTGAGTTTCACCTTGAAGACTTCAAATCCAACACCATGCATTGATGACATGTACCTTGAGGTTCGCGATGGATACAACAAGTCTTCCAGTATTCTTGGTGTATTTTGTGGGAGAAACATTTCTGGTGTTGTGCGATCCAGTGGACAGAGCTTGTGGTTGAGAAAATCAGATACATTCAATTACCGTTTCAGCGGTTCGTACAGTAACAAAACAGCTAATGCAACAGGCAAGTATTGACTAACTGAATTTTTTTAACCCACTGAAAGACACAATGTGCATTTTGGGAGTTTTACACCTCTGATAAAAGAAAAATGGCCATAGCTAGTGCTTCTTGTACTCAACTGCTTTTGTAATTGCGAAGAATAATTATTTTTTTATTTTTTTCCAGTCAAACCCAACCTTGATAAAGTGGCCGAGACTCAGTTCGTTCTTCTCAATCATTCCTCATCTCTTTGGTGTCCAGCAAAAGGAGCACCGGCACCGGTCATTGTTTGGAGAAAGAACGGCACTGTGGTACAGAACAGTACAAGTGTACAGTATAAGCTGAACATCACTGGAGAAAACAATGACGATTACAGTTGTGAGGTGAACACACAGGATGTTTTTGACGAGAAACGAATCCGTCTTGTCATCGAGAGTGAGTTTTAGTTATAAAAATGTGATTCTTAACCTAATAAGGCTAGGAGGGAAATATATCGCAAATTGCAGAGTTTCTATACATTGGTAGTAAATTAACAAATCCTAACGCTTTTTAACCTGTCTTCGCACCTAAAAGGCTGACACAATAGTTTTGTTGATCCAGCATAAAATTATCTTGCCTTAGACTGGATTGTTATTGATTGTTACGGGGTAATCTAGTATTATCAACTGAGTTGATGTCGTAAAGTGGCCACCGTGAAGAGTTTGAAAGCTAACGTTTCGAGCTTTAGCCCTTCGTCAGAGCGACAGACGCAGCACCACAGATTCTCTTGGAACTTACCCGCTTTAGTATTGAGTGTTCATGAGGAACTTTGAGGCTTTTTCAGAGGACTCAAATGCACTCTTGCAGCATTTCCGACAAAATAGACAAACAGGTATTCACTAACTTACATCAAACGATACGATGATAAAAGCATATCTTTTTCCTTTCTTTCTAGGGTGTCCAGATCCCTGCCGGTGTACCACGGCAGTTGGAATTATGCGCGCCGTTACCCGCGTTGAATGTAAAAGAAAACGTTTACAGTCTGTTCCACGTCACTTGCCCTTTTCTACGGAGAAATTGTAAGTATCAGTTCTTCTTTTTTTTGATAAGTGGTGGGGGGGGGGGGGGGGGATGGGGGGCGAGGGGAAAGGAATACACAAACTTGAAACGGTCGACTTTACTCAAGGATACTAATCCCCCATTCAGGGATTTGGATGACAACCAAATAGAGGAGCTCCCACCTGGAGTCTTCGATAACAACACCGAGTTGGCCATCTTGTGAGTAGACAATATATATGCTTATGTTGATAATGACGCGCAATGAGTTACGTATTGCTTAATGTCTGACGCTTGGTGGGTGTAGTCAGTTATGAGCCATGGCAGTAAAACAGGGGGGGTTGGTTTGTTGATTGGCAATGTTGAATAGATGGAGGTAACCAAAACAAGGCTATCACAGGATGTTGGTGATCTAGATGCAACAATTTCATTTGCTATCTCTGTGCAGTTTTGATTGTTTGTTTGTTTGTTTTTGTATTCGTCCTATTTACATACGCTAGATATCCTGTTCGGCCATTGTGATAAAATGAGGCAGGGAGAATACGGAAGGTGATCCTCCTCGCAGATTTTCTCGCTTTAGCTGTATAGCGTCGCCCACCCCTCCCTCCTCTTTCCTCTCTTTACCAACACAGCAGTGATACTCTCTTGTGTGGTGGCTAAACAAAGTTTCAACTCCTTTAGATGGCTACGCAGGAACAAGATCAGGAAGTTACGAGATGACTCATTTTCTCAGTTGGTCAAGCTGCGAATGCTGTAAGTTACAACCCTTAAATATTCCCATGTTACACAGGCCAATTACAAGAAAACCACGTTCAGATATATGTACAACTAATTCAGCCAGTCAACCTTTGACACAGATAACAAGTTCAACGGCCGTCAGCTAAGTATTTTCCTTTTTTCATCTGAGAGTTAAGTAACAACCTTTTCTCAGGAGCTTAGAAAAGAATCAGATGAAGCAGCCACCACCTGGAGTCTTCAATAGTAAAACAGAGATGACCCTCTCGTTAACAACCAAATCATAGTTCGGCACACCAGTATCCGAAATATGCCCAAATAATTGTCCGCAGACAGAGCACGACGCTCGAGGGAAACTGAGAGCTTCGAGGAACAAAGGAGCCGGGTGGGATCAGTCATCATCCATTAGGTTTAAAGGGGGACTACCAAAATTGACTGCCACAAAATTGGCTCAGGCGGGATCAGAATAATATTGCATAGCCTTATGGGGGATCGGTTGAATTTTATAATGACACAAACAAAATTCTCTGACTTCTGCCCCCCGCCCACCCAGAAGATAAATGATGACCGGTTTCTAAGGTCTCGAGAGTTTTCGCTTTAACTCCCAGGATCTTCCTCAGAAGGAGAGGAGTCTGGAAAGAAGTTAAGAGTTAATTTCTATTTCCACAGATGTACTTTCCAAACCATTTAGGTCTGTTAAAATTTTATGAGCTGATTAATGTGCTTTATTTTTGTTCGGTAAGGGACTCTATAGCACTATTTACGATGTTTTTACCCATTTTCAGTTCTTCATTCAACGAAGATACAAAAAAAGATAGTGAGAAAAATACGATTTATCCGTCATCTCATGGACTTTTTCTCAAAAATGAAAACGGCTACAAAGAAAAAATATTGCTTAACTTTTACTTACTCTAGGAATCATAATTACCAATGAATGAGAGAGATCCTAAATTAAGTTATGTTCATTTCTTAGGTATTTAAATGGAAACCAAATCAAGGAGCTACCACCCGGAGTCTTTAATAACAATTCCGAGTTGTTTTACCTGTAAGTAACAGATTGATAAGTTTATATTTTAAATTGTGTTTGATATGATCTGAAAATCTCCTTAATACAGTTTAATCTCCTTGACTCTGGTATTGAGCTCTTTCTTTGAGTCCTTGCTCCATATAGAGTTAGTAAAATTATCCTTTTTTCTAAAACTGAGCGTACGGGTGTTTAAACTCAGGGGCCGTTCGACAGCCACAATATGCGAGTAAGAGAGAGTGGCATCAATCGTAGAACCTTCGAGTTAAAACAGATTAAAATATCTTTTTTTATCAGTAACTTAAAGAGACTTTCTTAACTGTTATTGATGACGAATTCCGCCTTCTTAGTATCTATCCCGTTTGCCTATGCGAGCACATCCTCATGACTGGTAACAATAATTTATTCTCAGATTTCAAAACACCTGAAAATTTTCACTTGGAAACAACATCAAGAAATTGCGTTGATCAACCTGCAAGAGTTGTAAATTTAAAATTACTAAAACGGATCCTATCACACGCTAAAAAAATCGTGAAATTCTCTGTCTCAGTTCGCATATTTACCAAACCCCAGTTTCCAAATTTTGATAGAAATCCTATCCAATTGTTATCAATCCTATTGCTTTCAAAAAAAAATTGGAGGAACACTTTTTACGTTATATTAATCTAATTTATTCAGCCCATACCATCACGTAGTCTAATGTCATAATATCAATCCAAGGGAGTACAAACTGGTAAACGTTTTAGATTCTCTTTACCAATCCAAATACATTTAGAATTGTCCAGAGAGAGAACTTTACCTTAATCTTCAAGTCAAGGTCCCTTTTTTTTTTTTTACCAGAAATCCGATCTCAGTCATAACTAATCCCTTTGAGTTTCAAAACAAGTCAGATGAACAACTTTCACGGGGTATTTTCCCTTGATGCAAGCAATATAAAAATTGATCAAATTAGACTTTTTGCTTAGAGAAACTCAGCCATTCGAAAGAATGATCTTTTTCAAACTCTTTAAAGAATCATAGTTCTCCAAGTTCCAGCTCCATGCAGCTTCAGCTGCATTAAAGGACTTCAAAAAACTTTTTAAAAGTAGTTTAGAGGTACTACTCTTACTCGCACTAGGTGGTAACTCTCATTCCTAGCTCCTAGATTCGCTCTTTTCCCCTGCAGAATAAATAAACCTCAGTCCTCTTACCTCAATGCCTATTTACTCTGCTAGGACACTTCATAGCCTTTCGATTATATCTGTGTGCTACCAATGACGACCCGATACTAATTAATGACTTGAGTCATTAAAGTTGATAAAAATCAAGCCTTTACATAACTGGTTTACACTATCACGTGTAGCATCATCTTACTTCATAATCAGCAAGACTGTGGTAAGACTTTCAACAAACAACCGGTTGAGCACACGCAAGATGCAAGAATAAAAACAGTTATGTTGATGAGAACAATCCCATTAGAAATCATTATCCACTTATAAAAAAAATGCTATCGTCTCTGTTCTATGTTTAACCCAGAGCATCTTCTAATGTCAACATAAGCCATAGATTCTTGGTATATCGTTTATGTAGGTACTTACATGGCAATCAGATAGCAGAACTGCCACGTGGAGTCTTCAACTACAACACCAAGTTGATTCGACTGTAAGTAAACAACCTTTTAAGAAGTCCCCATGCTTAGCAGAGGGGTCAGTTTACAATTCAGATGGCAGGATCCAAATCCCATATCCCAGTCGGTATATTTAACGATTCGCGGTTCCTAATTTTAAGAGAAATCGCATCCCCATTGTTATAACTCCAACAAGCTTCCAAAAAAGCTTTAAGAGACGTAATCTACCAAAAAGATAGACAAGAAATTTGAATTTAATATGTGTAGAAAAATAAACAAACTTCAATTGTATATATCTTTTGATTTTTTCTGATTTCTCATCAAAAAGAGACACTTTTGATGAGAAAACAAAAGGTGTATTGCAGGGTTTTTAAAAACGTGTGTATATATATATATATATATATATATATATATATATATATATATATCTATATATATCTATACACTCAAACACAAACCCATATATATATATATATATATATATATATATATATAACTAACTGCGGACAGTACTGTTTCGGCCTTCTGGGCCTCATCAGTGCAGTGCTGATGT